GATTTGAACCTGCAGTTTATTCATTGCTACAAGCCTGAACCAAGAACTCTGCCATTACTGTATGGAATTGATTCCATTTAACCAATTCTAGCTCTCATCTAGATCTCTTTCCTTTTATGAATAAACCTTTAGAGTTTAGATTCTAAAGGATTGGCAACAGCGTGATTTGTGGGCAGTCTCTGATTTATATATCGACCTGGGTCTGGGGCTTGGTCCTTTGGGATCAAGAGCAAAGGTGCCGACTCCGTGGGTGCTCCGGAGCTGGAGCACCCACGGGGAAAAATTGGTGGGTGCTCTGCACCCACCGGCAGCCAAGCTCCCCACCCCACCCCCTGCTCCAGTTCACCTCCGCCTCCTCTCCTGAGTGCACCATCCCCACTTCTCCCCCTAGCTCCCAGCGCTTGCCACCGCAAAACAGCTGTTTCCTGCAGCAAGCGCTGGGAGGGAGGGGGCGGAGGGGGAACCCAAAGTGTGCTCAGGAAAGAGGTGGCACTGGGGTGGGGATTTGGAGAAGGAGTCCAATGGGGCAGGGAGGGGGCGGAGTTGGGGCGGGGACTTTGGGGAAGGGGTTGGAATGGGGATGGGGCAGGGGTGGAGTCAGGGCGGGTCGAGCACTGGTAAAACTTGGTCCTATGATCTAGAGAACCTTTTTTTCTTTTACTGGGGCATTGATTTTCATAACCATTCGTCTCCATAACGAGTGGCACTGGTGGTGATACTGGGAAACTGGAGTGTCTAAGGGAATTGCTTGTGTGACTTGTGATTAGCCAGTGGGGGTAAAACCGCAGTCGTGTCTGTTTGGCTGGTTTGGTTAGTAAAGGAACTCCAACTTTGGGCTGTAACAGAGAGACAAGAGCAGGCATTGTGGGACACCTCCCGAAGGCTAATTGCAGTGCTATAATCGATCAGGGTGTCTACACTAGCACCAGGGTGTCTACACAGGCTTTACGCCTCTTGTCAGTGTAAGGGGACTGTTGCCCCCTTACTAACGTTCAGTGGGGGTGTTTTGGTTGGTTAGCTCCCAGCACGAAAAGAAAGGGGAGAGGCCAATGCTCCAGGTCAGCCTCAGCTTCTGAGCCTGATTGACAGGGCGGGCAGCTAATCAGGGAGTCAGGAGGCCAGGGGGGTCCTGTCCTCCGTGTGAGCTGGAATTGCCTGGGTCAGACCGAGTGGGGCCGAGCTAAGGAGAAAGCAGGGGCCCGAGCTGAGCTGGAGAGCAGAGCCGGGCCAGATCCAGAGGGGCCAGAAAAGCAGCCCAGGAAGCAGGCCACAGCTGGGAGCAGAGCTGCAGCCACAGAGCCAGAGACAGTCCTGGGCAGGGTTCCCCAACCCGGTGCCCGTGGGCACCATGGCGCCCGCCGGGACATCTAAGTGCGCCCGCATACTGACCGGAGGATGAGCACAGGGCCGGCTCTAGGTTTTTTGCTGCTCCAAGAGTGCAACTGCCCAAGTGCGCGCCAAAAAAAAAAAGTGTCCGGAATGCCGCCGAAGCAAAAAAAATGCTGCCTCTGGAATTGTGCTGCCCCAAGCACGTGCCTGCTTTGCTGGTGCCTAGAGCCGGTCCTGGATGAGCATCCGCCGAAATGCCGCCGACAAGCAGCGTCATCCAGAGGCGTTGCTGCCGGATTGGCGGCATTTTGGCAGCGACGCCTATTGACGTTGCCACTTGTCAGTGGCATTTCGGCGGATGCTCGTCCGCCGCCATGGTCCTCCGTGGCTCGTCGTCTGGTGCCCGCCAGGTGAAAAAGATTGGGGACCACTGGTCGAGGGAGAGCAGATCCTGTGCTGGGAGCAGAGCAGCAGCCACAGAGCCAGGTGTGGTGAGCAAGTGGGGCCAGCCAAGGGGGGACCTTGGGCCAACGGCCCAGTGCAGAAAGACACCCTGTCATAACTATAAAGGGAAGGGTAATAGCTGTCCTGTGTACAGTACTATAAATCCCTCCTGGCCAGAGACTCCAAAATCCTTTT